AAAAATAAATAAATATGTAACTAAATCAAAATAAAAAAATTAAATCAGAGGGGACAAAGTCAGTCTAGTGTGAGAAGGGCAGTAATGGCTCTCGGTCCTAGATACGTTGTGGGTCACACCTACAATCTCCTGCATTCTGAAGCTGAGGTAGGAAGATTATGAATTCTAGTCCAGTTTAGGCACTTAGTCACTTAGCAAACCCCTGTCACAAAGTAACAGGCTAGGGATATATATAGCTCAGTGGAAATGACGCTGGGTTTGACCCCCGTAACACCCCCTCCCCTCCAGAAAAAAAAGTTGCTGGGAATGTCTTCATAGAGGTTTCAGGGAGCTGTGTTGTTAGTGGAATTATACATGATTTTCTTTCTTTCTTTCCTTTTTTTTTTTTTTTTTTTTGTGGTACCAGGGATCGAACTCAGGACCTTGCACTTGCCAGGCAGGCACTTGTGCCGCTGAGCAATATCCCCAGCCTATAGATGATTTTCTATATTTATAATAAATGCAACTTAACAATACCTATGTGCCCATCCCATACTGGCACTTACTATATTCAGAGAATTAGTAACTTGATTTCCTGTTGGTTGTTCTTATACATTGTAATGTAGGAATGCTGGATTTGAGGATCAGGAAAGTCAGAATTAGAACCAGTCCACCTTTTCTGTTTTGTTGTGACAGGATCTCATTATGTAGTCCAAGTTGACTTTGATCTCATTATGTAGTTCAGGCTGGCCTTGAACTCTCAATGATCGTCCTGTCTCAGCCTTTTGAGAAGAGCATTGCTTGTGTCCTAATTTATAAAATTAAAAAAAAATCCTAATTTATAAAATTAGCCTAGGGAGATAGCTCAGCCATGTAAATGCCTGCCTGGCAAGCTCAAGGTCCTGAATTCGATCTCCAGTACCAGGAAAATAAAATAAAAGCAGCACATCCGGTATTTTTAGAGTTTGTTTCTATTCAAGTTCTGAGATCATATCACCCTAGGAAGTGGTAATTGATCTTGAGAGATACAGAACTTGATAAAGGATACCTAAAACATACTAAGTGCTTACTGTTGGAAGGGCAGAAGTTGAGAGTTAAACTGACTACCCAAACTGTGCTTAGGTACTGAAGAAGACCTGGAATTCTATGTCAGGAAGTGTGGTGACATTCTTGGAGTAACCAGTAAGCTACCAAAGGATCAACAGGATGCTAAACATATCCTGGAGCACATCTTCTTCCAGGTGGTGGAATTCAAGAAACTGAACCAGGTACAGAGCATAGGAGGCTCACCGCGGTGGGAGCCCTTCAGGTAGCAGTAGCATCCGTAGGCTGTGTTTGTCCTTCATTAGTTCTGTAAGTATCTGTTGATTTCACAGTGCTTTGCAGTGGAATGTGGGTTGGGGGCTTGAGTAGAGACCCAACAGTACTCACTCCAGAGGCGTGGAGGACAGACACCCAAGGCCAGGGTAAGGCACTGATCTTTGTACCAATGCCTTCAATTAATTGCTATCACACATCATGTGGTGGGCAATGGCCAGAAATCCTGTCCTGGTAGAAATAATTAATTCTTGGGTTGAATTCAGTTCTAAAACTAGAGAAAACCTCTCTGTTCAAGTTAATGATTCAAAATCTCTAATTAAAATTCAAAACACCAAAGTGAGTATTGGTGGCACATGCCTATAATCCCAGCTCTTAGGAGATTGCTGCCAGTTTGAGGCCAGCCTGGGCTACATAATGTGCATTCAAGTCTGAACTCATAGTGAAACCCCATTTCAAATAAACCAAAAATAAATAAGTGATAATAAATTCAAAACACCAAAGAGTTGATATTTTGGGCTGTGTTCTGAAATACTGAAATTCTATGCTTTCTCCTGTCATCCAGGAACATGATGTGGACACAAGTGAAATGGCATTCCAGAGCAATTTCTGAGGACGGCTTCTGCAAGCATTTTCTGCCTCTTTATATTTGAATTGTTCTTCACTTCCTCACCAAAGTGTGTAAACTCCCTTTCCTCCATGAGCCATGCTTCTGAACTCCTGAAGCACTCACTTCTGTTGTTTCAAATGTGATAGCCCATCCTCAGGAGCTCAGTGTTGCTGTGCAGGGGCAGGGAGGGACGGCTTCTGCCTCACTAGGCTGGTTGTCTGGAAATGCCTAACAGCATATTGAATACATCTGAGAACTTGGGGGACCCTGAAGGCCAGATAGGAGATTGCAGAGCCACTGAAGGTGTATAAGTGATGTAGCACAGTGGGAATCATTTAGCCGGTGGGTTCAATAAAGATGGAAACACCTGCCCATGATGGTTCATGCCTGTCATCCCAGCACTCTTGAGGAGCTGAGGCAGGAAGATCATAAATTCAAGCCCAACCTGAGTAAAATAAAAATGGGTTAAGGGATACAGAGCAGTGCAAGAGCCCTGGGTTCAATCCCTCCTGCCAGGGAGAAACAGGGGGAACAGGAAAAGGAGGGCCACTTAGGGGACAGTGTGATACAACTCCGAGAAATAGTAACAAGGACTGGAAACTGGCCTAGGCACTGCCACATGTCATCGCAGGCACCAGATTAACTCAGGACTAACACTGCTCTAGGAGAGGTAGGTTTTTTGGTTTTAAGACAGGGTTTCACTGTGCAGTTCTGGCTGGCCTCGAACTTGTGGCAGTCTTCTTGCCTCAGCCTTCCAAATGTAGGGATTACAGGGCCACACTGTCAAGCTGGCTAGGAAAGGTAGTTTTTGCCTCCGCATACTAAGGATTGAACCCAGGGTCTTCGTGCTGAGCTGCTACTGAGCTACATCTCTAGTCCTTTTATCATTTTGTATTTTGAGGTAGGCTCTCACTGAATTGTCCCAGTAGGGCTGGTCTTGGTATCTTTCCAGTGCAGCTTTTCGGAGTACTGAGGTCACAGCCGTACATACCCACCTGACTGTACTTGTGGCATTCTCAAATAGATTTGAGCTGGGGTTAAATGTTTGAGCACTCCAGGAGACTCAAAAAATTCTACTTTAACCTGAGTAATTTACCAAGACCAGGTCTCAGAAAACCACTGAGAATGTACCTCAGTGCAGAGACTCTCCCCAAAAAACAAACCACAGCCAAAACTAAAAAAAGCCCAAAACCTAGAGTATGAATCTTGAACTGAAAAACCATCTACAAAGCATATTTTGGGGGACATTTAGGAGATAGTCTGGATTTTTTTTTTTTTTTTTTTTTTTTTGAGACAAGGTCTGGGGCTGGCCAAATAGCTGAGGATTAAAGCTTCTACTTAGGCAGAAACAGGGGCAGGGAGTTGGATCCCCAGCCCTGCTGTGCCAGCCCTGCCCCAGGGGCACGCTGAGAGGGCGACTGAGATTGGGCGTGGTCACGTACCTGTAATCCCAGCACTTGGGAGGCCTTTTTTTTTTTTTTTTTTTTTGGCGGAACCGGGGATTAAACTCAGGCCAGGCAAGCACTTATTCTACTGAGCCATCTCCCCGGCCCCATGGCTCAGTGGAATAAGTGCTTCCCTGGCAAGCGCAAGAGCCTGAGTTCAATCCCCAGTTCGGTGGGTTAAAAAAAAAAAACAACAAATAATTGGGAGGCTATTAACAGGAGGATCACTACGAATCTCATCTACTTAGTGAGACACTGTACACACTGTCCTAAATACCAAAAAAAAAAAAAAAGGCCTGGTTGTGTACATCAGGCTGACCTTGAATCATGTAGCTGTTTAATTTTTTAAAAAACCAAGAGACATGATGGCACAGGTGTAATCCCAGCACGCTAGGAGGCTGAGGCAGGGGAAGTGCCCAACCTACTAATTTAGCGACATAATCAAGTTTAGGCCTAGGGGCTGGTGAGATGGCTCAGTGGTCTAAACCACCTACTTAGAGCAAGCTTAGCAAAGCACAGGGACAGCGGTTCAATCCCCCAGCACCACAAGCCAGCCAGCCCCGCCCCCTGGTGGGCTGAGCTGCCCCCACACACACATAAATAAAAATTTGAAAAAAAAATTGGAAGTTAAAAAAATAAAAATAAATTGAAGATGAAGCCCTGGGGTCAGCCTCCCCCAAGGCTTCAATTTACTGAAGCCCTGGGGTCAGCCTCCCCCCATGGGGGAGGGGAAGGGGCGGTGATTTCCTTGGCAGCAGCTCACATTCTAATGGTTAGAGAAACTACGTATGTCAAATGGTGATGGGCTGGGTGGTGTATAATCCCTCTTGGGAGGTTGAGACAGGAGCAAGTAAACGGGGCTCGAACGTGTGTAAATATGTGCATACAAGTATAAGTAGGGGAACAGATACCGGGAACAAAACTTGCTGCTAGGAGTCTGCGCAGAGGGGCTCTGACCCACACCAGATAGCCCGTGAGGACTCGTGACGAGCTTCCGCGACCCGCCAGGCTCGGCGCCGTCCCGCGGCGCCCTCCCAGCCCCGAGGCGGGCGCTGGGCGCAGCGCGCAGGTGCCCCGCGTGACGTCGGGCGGCGCGACTCCCATGGTGCCCTGCGCGGCGCCGCTGTTAAGCCCGACTGGAGCGCCTCGGGCGTTCGGCCTCGCGGGCCCTGGAGGCGCCGCACGTCCCCGCAGGCAGCACATACCCGCGGGACTGTTGCTGAGCTCCCACCTGGAGGAGCGGGAGGGTTCCGCCCGGGGCCGTCACGGGCTCGTGGCTGACCTCCCGCCTCTGCCCGCTCTTGTGTCCCCTGGCCGCTGCTCTCCGACTTGCCTGCTGTATTAATAAACCAGTGCCCCAAAGGTCCAGGGAAGCGGTTTGGGGTGCGGGGTTCCGGCGCTTGCTTCCTGTCTCGGCTCCCTCAGCAGGAACGCCAGGGATCTGGTTTGGATGCGACACAGCTGGAACGGGCAGGAGCCTGAACACCTTCAGGCAGGGTTCATGGTCCTGTCCTTTGATCGTGGCTCCAGAGAGGCCCCTAGCGTCGTGCAAAAGGATTTTAGGCATCACCTCCCAAAGCTGCCTTGTAATCCCTTCCTCCACTACATTTTAGATTGACTTCTTGTACCACAGCTCGGTTTGTAAATTCTAGACATTTATGTAGATGGAAACATACAGCGTGTTCTTTGTTTATTTCAGCATAATTGAGATTGATTTTCAATAATTTGCTGTTTTTGTTGAGTAGTATGTCACCCTATGGATATGTTTTATACCTATTTATCCAAACAGTTGTTAGATATTCAAGTTGCTTCCATTTTGGAGACATCACAATAACTATGTAAAAAGGGGCTGGAGAGATAACTCAATAGAATAAGCGCTTTTCTGGCAAGCTCAAGGGCCTGAGTTCAATCCCCGGTTCCAC